TTTAAGGACCAACAACGCTATTGAGATGTCGTCAAATGCTTGAAGAATAATGAATATTCCACTAAAAAAGCCGAGAAGATCATTGAAAAATTTCATCGGCTTTGTTTTATCATATTTTCGAAAGAAAACGTCCCAAGCGGCTATTCGTATACATAACTCAAAACGTATGCTTAATGCAGCAAGGCTTTGATGTAACAGTAACTTTCGCGATAGTATAAAATCCTCGTTTAGTTTAATGACCCATTTAAGGACTCAAACTAATAAACGAGAAACTTATAATGATATTATTTTACTATTGTATCTTCGTCTGTACCATGACATATCACCATACCTGTACATAACCCACTGGTCTGATTACATATATCCCCTTTGCAATTGGACGGGCAGCTTGTGTTGCAGATATCACCATAATATCCAGGTATGCATGCTTTCATAAAGAAAAAACATAGGCAGTCATTTGAGGTTAAATACATACATCGTTAACTTTGCAAAAAGGATAGATACGTGACTTGTTCAACCTAGACTTTACTAAAAGAGACACAAGCTAGAACATAACATATATAATATACTTTACATAAAACTCCCCTGAAATAAAGAGACAATAGTCTTGTGTCTATCCTCAGGTAATTCAAAATCTAGTTAAACATATCAAATTATATAAATAATTCAACCACATAACTTTGAGTATACATATCGTTATACATTTCTTTTTGTGAAATATTGAATACGACAATACTGTTCAGTTAGAAAACAAACCCATAGATNCTAAAGCATGTTAATGCTATCTTTAAAAGTTAGAGAGTCATCACTGACTAAGGTTTGAAAGAAACATAACATGTGAGTTTGTCTATTTCGAGAGAGTGCTATTTTGCAGCAAAATATAGTCTTGATATTTCTCATTGCTGTTTGTTATAGACCCTCTAATGTCTATATTTTTGACATTTGAAGAAATAACAGCGGCAGTGTTATATATCCTATACACTTCTAAAAAAGTTGAACGTTTTTCTTGCTTACAATTTAATCTCATGTTGAATACGAAATTAAATATATATATATATACTGACAATATGAGTTGATTGACAATTGAAGCACCAATTGTTAACTCAGGAACATAGATAATGAAATGTATTGAAATATAACTCATCAGTGAGTAGATCTGGTGCTCTTTGTTACATACTTACGACTACGATTTCCGTATATGTTGTCACAAGAAAGATTGATACAACCAACAGAGCAGTTATCACAGGACAATCCGAAGAATCCATCCTCAGTCTGGTCATTGCAAAATGAAAAAAACAACTTTATTCAGTTTCATATTGACATTTGACCAGCATATTAATATACAAATCAAATCTATAATATGGAACAACCATGTACTGCATGCATGTTAAACTGATAGTATGCATCATCTAGTTCTTCAGCGCAATGTTACCTCAATTTGATATAATTTAATTTCCATTGTGATGATCGGGAAATATACCAACACCCAATCATAATTAAATCTGATACAGTATTTAACAATCATATTGTGACGATTTTTGCGCACTACCACCGGAATGTGTTGTTATGTCACATTATTTTTCTTTCTACATATTTTTTCACGTTCTAGATTACCGATCTTGATTTGCAGAGATTAAGTTAATTTTACCGAAAACCTACGAAATCGACAATTGCTGTGAGCTATATATTTTTTTCCTCAGTTGTAGCGCTGTAAATCTACCCAATGATTATAATTTGCATATCCTTTTGATTTTCATTTATTAGACGTCATCAACAAATTAAAATAGTGTATTTGTCAAAATTGATCTGAATTGTCTATGTTAACATTACAATTACAATATATGAATAATTAATAATGTCCTAACTAATCCTAATATTAAACAATTCTATACACGTTTTTCATATTTTACACTGATACATACCTTCACACTCTCCATTGCTTTGCATACATCGGATGTCTTTACAGTTGAACGGACAGGTCTGATTACAATGGCTGCCATAATACCCGGGAGCACACGCTTTCATGGAAAATCACAAAGAACAAATCAGAATTGGAAAAAAATGGTAAGAAGCTACATTTTCCTTATCTAGGTTTTAGATCATTTATTGTTGCTGAGAATGTGATTGTACTCAATGGTGCTCGATACATGTATATTTCGAATTAACACTAAGCAAGATAAATGGTGTATTGTAAACCGAATGTTATAAATTTATAATAAAATAATGTTATCAAAACATTATATCATTAAGTTGATTAATATAATTATATTTGCAAAAAATATTTTAGAAGTCGTATCATTATAAAATTAAAATTGTGTTCGTTCCCTAATCAAATGCAATATAATTTATAACAAGAATGTGTATAAACACAAAATATAAAAAAAAAAAAATGAATTTCATATGACTGGTGACTTTAACTGAAATAAAACGAATCACTTACCGGAACAAACACCGGATTCTACATTGCATGCGTTAGCATAACAGTTTGAGGGGCATTCTATGCATAAAGATCCAGGCCGAAAGTATCCATCAGCACAGTCTTAAAATTAAATGAAACATGTACACTGTGTATATATTTATTAGACGCATTGTTCACACAGATTTTAACATTCTATAGGGGATATATATAATACGTAGAAATGTAAATTGAAGACTGTTTATCATATTTTGATTCACTCGAATGGGAAAATAATATAATGTTATAATGTAAATGTTATAATAAAGTTATCATGATAGGACATATCCATATATTATTACTGTACCGGAAGCTTATACGACACCAAAGCAAAAACCACAGTTTGAATGAGGTTATGGTGACGATCTACACTTTTTTCTTATACTTAAATTACGTTTATCACAATGGTTCTCGTTAATAAAAAAATGAATGATAAACTTATTTGTTTTTTCTCGTTCAACAGGCAAATGACATATTGTATGTTTTGTCCAACTGAGTATTACTATCTTAGGATATATATAATTACATGCACATTTTCCGGTCACTGGATCACACAGTCTATTGCCACACCCTACATCACAATCTGAATCACAATTACCATCACCATATTTCCCAAGTGGACAACCTGAAATATATGAGCATACGAGTTTGTGTCATAAACACATATGTTTACATTAAAAACATGCTAAAACATAGTTAACCAGTTCCAATTACCCTTTCGCTGGATAGATACTTTCGTTGTTCAAATCCCTCCTTATGTAACCTCTACTGCAACCTTATAATGATGCACAAGAATATTGCTTACTTTATCAATGCAAAACAAAACAAAATAATGCGCCAACTCGCGAAGTCTAGGAAATAACATAGTGATATTCAGGAATGTTTATCTTGACCTTGAACACGAGTTCTGAAAGTTCCATATTCTTTCAATAATTTCAAAGGTCAATATTATCGATTTGTGTTAACACAAATAGAATCAAATACACACAAGAATAACGCAATTTCGTAATGTTAAATAAACATACCGTACACTTCTACCTCGCAAAGCTCTAGAAAAGCAGTTTTAGAGTACCACTCTAGACCTCCTGACGATCTGTTGCTGTATATCGTCAGGTACTGGACGCTGCCTGTACATGGGATATTGGGAGACAATGACAATTCAACCGCCGTTGGTGTTGTGTCTTTATGGCAAAGGTAACCGTTCACCCAATCCGACGTGTTCGACTGGTATACTTGAAAGCCACCAAATCGTTGTTTTTGCTGATAACCGTCATCTAAATTTGATAAACAAGATTCTCCACTATAGCTAAAACTTATATATTTTTTACAGCTTTGAGTTCACGCAAGGTTATTTAGCATTTTTGCCAGGAAATTACAATCCGCGCAGTGTAAAATTCGCTCGAGAAAAATGCGGATCGTGCAATCTACAGTGAAACATTTTACACTTTTATTGTTTTCTAACATCCCTGCAGGTCGGTGATTTAGAAAAAAAGAGAAATGCTTGTTGTTACCGACTGCATGTTCTGTAACAGGCGACTGATGCGAAACCTCAGGAATTAAGGATTTTTCATTTGTTTCCCCTCCACCACTTGGTCGCGGTTTCGAGACCTACGTTGGCCAGTTGCCAGGAACTGACCACATGTCGGTGTTTTTCTCCCGGAATACCGGCTTTCCTCCACCATCAACCCATACCAGGTCATTACATGACCATAGCTGTTAATAGGACGTAAAACACAAACAAACCTAACCGAACCGGGGAATGCCATGATACCGTGGTCTTGTTGTGACATTGCCGAATAATAATACTTTAAAACGAGTAATTATTACATCGTAGTAACAATTTGACGTCATTAGGATTGACTTGGTCTCTTATCACAAGCCTATTCACATCTTTACGGCCTCTTCACTCTTTGAAGAAGAGGATAATGTTAATCATAATACTGGAAGGAGCTTTGTTTTAGGTTAATATGAAGCAATACAAAAATTGTAAAAAAAAAATAAAAAAGAAAAGAAAAGAAATATCTGCAGTAACTGTTATCGTCATATTTAATGTAAAAAAAGGTAATTTATTAAGTCCATGTTAAAACCCTGAATTCCAGAATGCTTCTTGCAAACTATCCTTACCTAGGCCTCTTTCTGAACTTTTATAGCCAACCACCTAAACCTATTAGAACTTGAGGTGAAGGTTTTCAAAGATGTTGTACCTTGAATTAGCACATTTGAAGTGTGACCCCTATCGAAAATAGAAATTTGATCTTCACACAAAATATTACCCGGGAAAATGTGTGCGCTGGCGTTCTCTAAATAATATTAAAACATAATGTAAATGCCTAAAAACGATTTAGTTATAGTATGGATTACACAAATGATTTGTTTTAACCATTTGACCAATGTGATCTTGAAAGGTAATTTATTTCATTATTTTTTCTCAAACCCTATTGCAAACCGAAAAATTCAAAAGATGAAAAAAATTGTGACAAATTCTATTCACATGTAATGAGAACACAATGGGCCCCGATCATTATCTACAAATGATATAAATGCAGGAATACTGCATAATCAATAGTTTTGAAGTCATGGCGGCCATATTGGATTCTGAACCAATTTAAAATGTTACTTCAGTAATGTAGTGCACACCTTCTGTCAATGATATACAACACATCTAAAAGTGTTTAAACACATCTTAAACCTGCTACCAACAACAAAAGAGTAGGTGGCCAAAAACTGATGTAATAATAATAATAAGAAAATCAGAAACATCAAAAATGATAGGCATTTCCACCATTTGGCGAAAAACCCTAATAACTAGTGTGTATAAGACGTCTATCCTAAAGGAACGCATCATCTGTGAAATCAATGCAAATGTTATGCAAAGCAAATCCCGGATTCATGTTGATTAAATGAATGTGTCAATATCTAGAAAAAGGTAGGTTTCAGTCAATGAAACCGAAATGTTAGAGTGTTGTTTACATTTAGTAAACATTCATTGAAATAACATTGTCCTTGGCCCATCATATTAATTGATGTAGAGTAAAAGAACAATTCTTAGAAACACAGAAATAAATTTCAGATATGTTTTTTTTTCTGTATTCTTAAGACTCAGTTATAAACTGCTGCTATATCACATCAAAGCATATGTAAAGGAAGGAATCATTGTTGGTTATTATTATCAATAACATTCCTCAATCAAATTGTCATAAGATGGATTGACTTTGTCACATCTTCTATCCATAGGTACACGGACAAAAGTACATACACATATATCGACCGGTGTCGTGTGTTTTAAGTATACACAGAAAACCAGCCGAGTCAGAGCACTTGAGGATTACAAAACCAGTATTACAGTACACACAACAGTCCGTCGTTAATAAGCACGAATTAATTCAGGATATATATACAACAGTGTTATGCATACCTCTGGTGTGGAGTAACAACCTGTTGGACTGAAGATTCATTAGTCAGAATTTCGAATTGATATACAGCATTACAAACAACATAGACAGCCTTACAACTCATATATTGATATATATTTATGTACAAATATAACAATAAAAAAATAGAAAAAAAACAGAACTGGGATAGTTATTATTTGACCGGGTGATGTAATGTCAGATTTCATTAACCGGATTTCGTCTACATTTTAAAAATTCATGATAAAATGTCCATGTTACTTATGGATATCGATTTAAAAAATATAAGCGAAAAATAACAGTAATCAATAACGAAATATGCTTGTAACCGTAATATATCAGTGGTTAAATAATCATCTTGAAGACGTGATATCAAGTAAATAAATAGAAAAAAATGATAATAAAAATTGTGAAAAGAATTATAGCCGAAGTTGTTCGTGTATCACGGCGTGAAGAATACTGCGAGAGAGAAAAAAAATGGCACACGGGGGCATTTCCACTCATCTAGGTAGCAAACTGAGGTAAGATATGGGAAATTTGGGATAATTTAACCGTAACAGGATAATCAAAACGTTATTAGTTCATGGTTGTAAATCATAATGTGTTCATGGTATAAGTAAGTAAAAGAAAAAAATGAGAACTTAATTGAATGTGTGCCGACAATGTCCATTCAAGATAAATTTTGTACAATAATTAGCTTTCTGTTTCAAGATTACCGAGGAGATATTACAATATGTACATGTACAGTTGTGGGATCGCACAACGTTACACGATGTGCGCACGATGTGTGCACGGTGTGTGAACTATGTGTGCACGAAGTACGAACAATACAAATTTGGACGATCGTTGCTTGCGCACATTTGTGCGGACGATCGACGAACGTTGTGCGATAACATTCGTGGCTGGGGTAAATTGAGGAATGGCTTTATACGGTTTGTTGTTTAGACATATACACTTGATTTTTTAGTACATTTGTATGTTTTCCTACTCTAGCTTCATCTACAAGCTTATATTTCTATCGAAACTTTCTTAAATTTAGAAATGGCGTTTTCGGTGTTTTTTAAACAACCTTAATCGATACGTGTAAAAATAACAACACAGTCTCGGCAACACAGTCAAACATAGCCACTTTGTATCTGGACGGTAGTTTTCCACCGTCCGGGACACTTACGTAACTCGACAAGGTGTGAAAACCAGGTGAAGAGGAAGGGGGGGGGCTTTTGATTAAAACGAATGCAAATAACAAATACTTAAGGTCCAGTTGTGTTTTCATAACGGTATACGGTATCACATATCAGCTCTACCCGTCAGGCACAGGCCAGGTAAAACTCCGGTCACTCATCAAATTGTTATTTACCTGTTCTGTTACCTAAATAGTAGCCAAATTCATTCTTTACATTCTAATGGTCACTGTAATACTGTTACATGCATGGTAAAATTGTACATAATCTTAATTATTGTGATGAGAAATTCCAATAATAAATACAATGTACATTATTGCATACGAGCCTTCCGTATTTTTTTTCATTCCGTAATATTGATCAACAAATTGTACCAAATCGCACTGTTGTGCGGGGAGAAGCGCACAACGGGGCGAACGATTGTTAAATCGCCCAGTTGTGCGCACCATGTGTGGACGATGTGCGGACGGTGTGTGAACGATGTATGCACGGTGTGCGCACGGAATTTTTGGTGCGTTGTGCGGTCACACAACTGTATGCAATTTAACAAAATATTTCATCTTAGTAACTACTGAACTTTTATTAATATATTTGTGTTGTATGACTGCCTCAAAGTGACTGTTGATCTCTGTTATATTTTGTGATATGTAAATGTTCATGTTTCTGTCTTTAAATAAGGGCGGATCGCACTGAATAATTGAAAACATATTTTTGTCTGTCATGCCGTTATGTCTTCTTTGCCCACATATATAGTTAAGTAATATACATCCAGCCATCATTTGCTTGTTCGGATCCAGTGTCCATATTGGATCATACTATCGTTATTACTCATGAGATATATGAAACAAGGATGTTAATCCAACAAAGTAGACATTTTGAAGTCGTCAAATTACACACGTTAAAACACAAAACACACATATTACGTTACGTTATTCTTTTTAGATATAATAGCATACTACTAAGATATAAAGACAATAAGCCCCTCGGCTAGCGTATATATATATATAAGGTGAGTTAGGTTCATACCGATTATGAACGACTAATGGTGTATTACCATTGGCTTGCTAAAAGTGTTGGTAATCATATCAATCGCCCTACCAATGTTAATACAATAGAAAGAACAGTAGTGACACATCACCATTGTTAGACCATATTTGAATCATAGCTAGTATATTGTGTATTGGCTGTTTCTACAATTTTATATCCTTGAATAAATGCTTATCGTGTAACACTATGTCAGAGCAACTTTGCAAGGCGGAAGTATGAAACATGCACCTTAGGTACAAGATAAAGATTTACCCTTATCCTGTATACAAGCAATATTTCCTATGGTTAAACACTTAAAGCTTTTGCTATGATATGTAGATCTAAATCAACGTGACGTATAGGTTTACTATCAGAATGAAGGATAAACAGAAAATGTACATCCAATCCTACCTGATGTGTTGACAATCATTAAAGTTGAGAAGATACACAGATCCGCCATCAGCCAGAGTTTACACACCTCCATTCTACATATACTACGTATCGTATAAGACGGATGCTTTGTGTCTGCTATATCGCAAGCCCACAACTATCCAATGAGGAAGTAAATAGTTTTATTTACTAATCTATCAAATTGCACAGCCATTCGATAAGGTTGTGTTTTGTCAGTATTTGTTATCTTGTTATTTTGCCTGTGCACATGTCTAAACAATCTGTTCTTCTGACAAAGACTGAATAGGTCGTAGGCATAAGGTACATTATGATCATTAAGCGACGGGTTTCGTTGACAAGAAAGTTAATTCATCATTATTATTATTTAAATCAAAATTGAAATTTATTATATTTTCAGATCGAAAAGTGTGTCTTNTTATGATCATTAAGCGACGGGTTTCGTTGACAAGAAAGTTAATTCATCATTATTATTTTTTAAATCAAAATTGAAATTTATTATATTTTCAGATCGAAAAGTGTGTCTTTAAACCTCTCTTGATCCGGTTGACCCCTATATAGCAATCACCTACATGTATCCGTGTGTCCTTATCCCTGCTATGTAACCCACATACGAAACCCAAAACGAGGCACATTGTCCTAATTAGCACTACTACAACACATGCTAATTTCTCTCGGAAAAAAATAATTTGTTAACTATGTATAAAACACATCAACAAGTGGCAAGTTGATATCAAACATAGCATAACAGGATAAAAAGCCGAGTTACCTACCTACGTGATAAATATTTAGTCAAAGTTATCTTGGGAAATGTGATAATATATCGACAAAACGAAAACTTTATTGCGACAACTTCATATTTTATGTTGACATCTTAGAATATGGCGCATCCGTAACTCTTAATCCGATGGAAGAAATGGGGTTCTACTGTAGTAGTGAAAATATATTCATCATATTGTTGTGGTATAACGCAATTACGACACTCGAAACGGATTATCTAATGCACACGTTGGCCATAACTGATATGTTTAGTAAAGAAACCCAGTGTTAATATTTGTTATGAAGATTATTCCTTTATATATATATATATATATATATAAATGAAACATGCCTCTTTCTTTCTTTTTATCAAAGCTTATCTAGTTTAAAAATATAAACTAGTCGTCAATTGAACCAATGATCATGTATCGCACATATCCTCTTAACAGCTGAGTGTTGCACATTCGATACATATAGCTTGACTTCCGTAATCACATGTCGGTGGGGATATCACGCGCTGTGTCCTCATATGAATACTACAAAATACATGGTTCTTTAAAATGGAACTGTATGCATACACTAAAATAGGTAATGTTGGAAAGGGATGTGTGTGTAAGGTATTTCAGCTTTGTACCCTTCCTAGTCATATACAATATATGTTCAGCTTATTTCTGGCAATACTTCTGTCTCGATTTTGTTCGGTATAACGCGTTTGTATTGCATGAGGCCTGACATCTTAGCAGATACCATATCTGTCAGTTAAGAATGTTTATCTTGTTTGCCTATTGTGAAAAGCGACTACGTGCATACCCCTACCTTGGTAACTTCCATTACAAGTTCAATTAAATACCTGAAAAGGTCAGGCTTAAATGTATGCGTATTTCACACATACACCAGTGCACACGGTGCAGCTGATAAGCACGGCTACCAGTTTAATGTCACGGGCATTTTAAAACTCTCCTTAGGGGAAATATATTGACAATTGGTTTCATTATTTTTAGTATTTCATATGGATATTCCTATTACTAAAAGTGTGATTAGATTGACCTTTGACCATTTGTAACCAATACATAAATTGTCCTTTGTTGTAAAATCTACAAGTCTAACATGTATCATCTTACTTGATTTGACTGATCAAATTGATCTTTGACGTTTGGTGACCTAAATATTGACATTTGGGTTACTTTGGTCTATAAGATGTGTAAATAAAATGTATCGACCTATGGCTTACTTTTAATACAATATGTGCAAGTGAAATTAAAGGTATACTGTCTTTAATAGTAATTGTCTCTTGACAAATAACCTTCGGTGAAACAGTTGTGGGACCGCACAACGCATCAAAAATAGCGTGCGCACACCGTGCATACATCGTTCACACACCGTCCGCACATCGTCCACGCATGGTGCGCCGAGCTGTGTGATTTAGCAATCGTTCGCCCCGTTGTGCGCTTCTCTCCGCACAACTGTGCGATTTGGTATCATTTGTAGATCAGAATTACGGAATGACAAAAATACGGAAGGCTTGTATGCGATAAAGTACACTGTGTATATATCTGTAATTTCTCATCACAATAATCAAGATTATACAATTTCACAATGCTTGTTACACATTATTACAGTGACCGTTAGGCTGTCAAGAATGGGTTTGGCTCCAAGGTAACAGAACAGGTTAATAACAATTTAATGAGTGTCGGGAGTTTTACCTGACCAGTGCCTGACACACAGAGCTGATATGAGATACCGTTAGACCGTAATGAATAGTACTTGTTATTTGCATTAGTTTGCCTATATCTCCCCTTACCTGGATTTTCACACACCCGGCCTTACCCGACAAGTTACGTAAATGGCGGTGAGAAAACTACGGTCCAGGTACATGTACAAAGTGGTTATGTTTACCTGTATACGGGTTTGTGTTGTAATTTTACTTGTGTCGATTAAGTTTGTTTAAAAACACAGAAAACACAATTTCTAAATATAAGAATGTAAAGACAGAAAAATAAGTTTATAGATGTTGCTAGAATATAGAAACATACGTAAACATCAAGTTTATATGTTTAAACACGAATCCGTATAAATTGTTAAGGCATTCCTCAATTTACACCAACCACGATTGTTATCGCACAACGTCCGTCCATCGTGCGCACATATGTGCGCAAGCAATGATCGTCCAGCTTTATATCGTTCGCCCATCGTGAACACTTCATAAGGCGACTAATGAGGGCATTCCGTAGGAAATTGAGATTGTTCACATTTACCGGGCCAGATTCCCACATGCACATGTTCCACTTTTTTTTTTATATCTCGTCCCTTCTTTCTGGTGTTTATCTCTCGTTGACTCACTTGATGTGATAGTGCATCTTGCTCCAAATAATATCAACATATTAAATAAGAATTACTTAAAACATTGATTTGAAAAGTTCTTATAAAATCATCACTCAAAATTATAAATTATTCAATATATGCGATGCTAGGTTACAATGTAATGACATTTATAGATCAGTTTTGTGATAGATATGAGTACTTGTACCTCACATAGTTCCAGCACGACATCATTCGAATATCTTTATTTTGCTTTTACTCGACGGACAGTGTAGATGGTCAGACTGGATGTACTTTGTCGCAGACATGAACGCTAAGGTAACTGTGTTGTCCATGTAGCACATTTTTCCTGATTTCCAGTCATGTGTATTAGCCAGGTATATCTCGTAACCGACGAGTCTGTTTAGTGTGCCCTCATGGACGCTGATGGACAAATGTACAATAAAGGTTCGAAAGATGCAGCTTGATTAGGACAGCTAGCAAATGTTATGCTCGCCATCAAAATATTATTGGGGATTTTGCGATATGAACATCAAAGATGTTTCTTATAAATATTGTTCACCATCTAGTTCTGCCTTGGAGAATTTCAAAATACTTTGATTTGGCTTATACTTGTCGATGCGGAGGAATGTTAGTCAACTCATGTCATATCATACATAGAAAGAGCAGAAGCATTCATAGTTTTTCCAATACCCCATAATCAGCAGACACCGCAGCAAGGACCAACTGATGCAGGGGACAATACGCAAGTGTCGTCTGAAACGATGGATGACGATCAAACATTTAAGATTAAGATATATCACATACATTATTTTATTTTTTTCCATGATGACAATTAAGGTTTGCTAATCGTACAGGAATAGTAACTATCTATATGACAATTACTTTATTAAAACATAAGACTATAAGCTTATTTGTTTTCCTAACTCTAAAACACGACGACTTATATACAAAAGTAAAAACGAATACACTCTGTTTTGATATTGTTTTTTTATTGTATTGTTCTGTCATGTATTCATGATAATCAGTCAAACGTAAAACCTTCTAGGAAATCTTCAGATGATAATAGAAATGTTATTACATCATTAAGACATGGAGATATGTGAATTGTGTTCTCTCATTTAATCTCTCTAGTAAAACTAGCAAAAATCCTTTTCTAGACACAAGTCGACATGAGAGATCTAGTGTTACAATGGATAATCATTGTAATTCCAAAATATCTTAACGTCAAAATCTACGACAAAGATCGTGTTTTATCAAAAATGAGGGCATACTGGAAAAAAACAACTTCCAATGCATATGTGCAGCTTTTAGCAGTGTGTGCGATAACCCTTAACACATATACTATTGATCTACTTTCCAAACCTTTTGATCAACCTGATATTGGTCGAGGGTTGATACTGGGTGTGATATGGAAAAAGGCGTGTTTTATTCTGTTTATTACATACTTAGTAATAAAAACTACTATCTTATGATTTTTATTTTTTTTTTTGAAATATTGAAAAACGTTTTTTTCCAAAAAGGGTGTGATATGGGTTTTGCGGGCTGATACGGGTTTAGGGGTGTGATACGGCGGGGGCTGATACGGGTTTTGGGGTGTGATACGGCGAGGGCTGATATGGGTTGGGGCAATTGTGTCGTATCGCATATACAAAAAAAAACACGTATTTATTAGTGAGTATGTAATCATTCATTGTTATGTATATCAACTATTGAATATCACTAGATTAACCAACATGTAGGTACAGATCACTAAGATATAACATTTAAAACGACCGATATGTTTTAACGTATAGGGAATGGCAAATAGCACCGTACAGGTGGCACGGTAGTCTAGTTGTAGGACGCCGGACTTGTGACCGAAAGATTGCAGGTTCAAGTCACGGCACGGCACTGTGTTGTATCTTTGAGCAAGATAATTTACTTCGCTTGTTTTAGTCCACTCAGCTGTAAATGAGTACGTGGTTGGGCAGTGCTAGAATCGTTGAGTGCTAGTTATGAGCACCGAAATTGCAGCACCGCCTGTGTGCTCCCCAGAGAGTTGAGAAAGATATTGGCTGGCTGCAACGGCCCAATAACTATGGATAATATATGTGTACCGCTTTGAGACGACCTACGAACTAGGTCGTGGTAAAGTGGTATACAAGATCTTCGACTTATCATTGCTATTTCTTTTATCGTAAATGTTATGTTACGACAAAATACAAAATAATTATTGACGATAAATTAATATTTAATGGACCTCATATGTTTGTGGTCAATGGTTTTAATTAATAATCAGAGAATAATTCGTACGTGTACAAGTCAAGTTTTGATATTTCTCACACTTACTAAGATAATGAAATAAAAACCTGAACGTGTACATGAAAATGACATGCGAGAGAAAAATAAATACGTCATCTTTTGCATTAACAACAATTAACAAAAACACTCTTAACAAACAAACAAAACTGTTCTTATATTACACGATGATTTTGAGGAAACACAAATACATACAATGTATATACACATATGTAACACAGTGAAAGCTGTCTAAAACAGCATTCCTTGAGTATTAATGATATATTTGAAGTAAACGTAATGCTATGTGATGTAGGTTCTGCTAAACTGCATTGAATCACATTTTTGGAACTTGCACATCTTCATACAATGGTGCACAGCAAGTGACAAATATACCTGAATAAACCTGTCGGATTAAATTATAGATATTTTGTTTCAATTATTCTGAAGCGAATAGCTGAGTTTTCGTGATGGTTAAATACTTCTCGAAAAAAACAAACGATTAAAAAAGGCAGCCGAAAACCTACTTAGTGTATAATTCAATTCTAAGAAATCTCTTTTAGACCGAAACATATTGATATTGTTCAACACATAACTCACTGTCTATATAAATGCATATTTCGGAATATAGTCGATAACCTTTCGACTCTTGTCTGACACTGCACAAAATCAAAAACCAAAAGCTTAGACATGCACCTTTGTGTTTAATCAAACCATAAAGTTAAAGATATATTTGTATTCGGTGCATTGTATATGCTTCCTATAAATTCTCAACCGTATTACTTGTCAACCATATGTCAAATGTGTGGTTATCTAACACTGCTTGAAAATTTGCTTAAAGCTACTTATACTTATTCCCCCAAAACATTCATCCACTAAAACACCTTATTGGATCAAAAAAAAAAGACAAATTGTATAGAGTGACTGAGATGGTTAACTGCGATAAATAATAACTTTATACAAAATATATGAACTTCTGTACAGAACAACGATATATTAATTCAATATGAACATATAATTTACCTTAATAATGAGTGCATACACGATACATGCTTTGGTTCACAAAAGTGACATTCAGATATTGTGGCAATGTAAACATCACACAAGAATTGACAACTGAACAAAAATAATCCACAGCACTGTCGATGTTCATCACCTACGTACTATTCTGTTTAGTTATGACACGAGTTAATCAAACAAATTTTATATGAGGGTAATTTAGTTACAGGAACATGGGTACGTTGAGTTCAAGGATGAAACTGTGCAGCTTTCAGGAACCATTTTCCTATGTTTTCTTGTCAACATCTGTTGTTTCGTATATATGTGGAATTTCCACCTCCCTGCGTCCAAGCTGTTCATAAGTTGCCTCATTGTGTGAAATCTGCGCAATGGTTTGTTCTTTGTTGTAAGTTGCTATTTCGTCGTAGGTATTATCTGAAAAATGCACCAAAAATATTAATTGAATTTCTGTCTGGTACTATTAACATGAGCTAAAACATGTATGTCGTAAGGTTGAGATATGCTAACAACGTTTGAAGTTTGTTTAAAAGTGGGAACAATGTGCATTCAAGGTATCGCGTTTCCTTTTCAGAAACCAATTCAATTGGAAACTTGTGTTTTTTTTACATTGTAAACCCTAATGTTGCAAACATTCGCTTTGAACGTTAAAAAAATCGTATGCAAATGTACAAATTCAGTAGATGTTTACCTTGCTGTTTTTTGAGCTCTTTCGCAGTTTTCGACAATGATATATCTGTCATATGAGAAGGCCCTGTGATATCACTGCGCTTCATCGTCAGACGTCTGACCAGTACAATTATCACTATGACCAGAGCCAGTATAACCACTCCGGATCCGATGCCTATCCCCACTGCGGAGTCCCCATTCGTTATGATTACCACTACAGCATAAAACAAAGTTGAATTGTCATGCATTTTTCATTAGTTGTTATTTTCTGTTTCATGTCCCTCCTTTAATTTTTAGGATTGGAGTGATTTTTTTTTTCATTATATTATACATATTTGGTTGAAATCAAATCTAATGAATAATAAATACTGAGGAGATTACTTTTGGACATAGTTTTGAAAGGATAAAGTCACAAATATATTCATTGTAAGGATATCATATGAATATTACCCTTGTTGTCACATTTGTTTCCAGTCCATCCATCTGTACACCCTGTCGTACAGTCTCCATAGCCCTTGTCACAACTCACACCTTGACAATTGCCACACGACTTCAAACATTTGCTGCCATAGAATCCGGCTACACACACTACAAGTAAAAGTATACTCAGATATCATCAATAATCCTGAATAGCCGGTACTGTACATGCTACATTGATTGGTAGGTTTCAAAATATAAAAAGAGGCGACACAAACGTTTTGAACAAAACGGTATTTTGATGTTGAAAGCAATGAAGCAATGACATGTATGATAAAAAGGAAATATTTAGATGGGTACCCTGGATAGTTTCGAGGAGAATAAGACCAAGTAATTATGTGCACATGGATATGATATGTTTTCAACAAAATTATGATTTCAATATGAATACTTGCTCGTTGTCTTCAAATACATTGTTAGCTTGAACTAGTAAACGTTTGTCTATCTTAAGATTGAGAATCAAGCAATATCGAATACGACCCTCACACACGGCAACACTATATTGGCTTCGTTTAAATGTTACTTAGCGCTTAATGTCGATCTAATGATTTCAAATTTTGCCCCGGTTTTTTTTTTTTTTTTTTTTTTTAAATAATGGTACAGACCCAGGGTACGGGTTTAAATATGTGATCAGGTCTCTACAGGGGAGCTAAGGTCCAAATCACATATCCCTTTTACCAAACTAGGATATGTTCCTACATGATGTACATGCAAGGGAGGTGATTTGTTGGAATTTTATTTTTTAGTATTCTTGTGGTACATTTGAAACTAAACGACACGAGTAAACTGGTATAGTATTAACGAAGTAGTTACTTGAATCAGTAAATTTGATTTGATAGGCGTACTTTTTCAAGAAAATAGTTTCTAATTTCACTTTGTTTGATTTACAGAGGTCGTTTTCGGCTGCGTATACAATCAAATATTTAATTTACATAAACTACTGAAAAAAGATGCCCACATGACCATAAAGTCCCTCCTACTTTAAATTTATCTGAAACACCGATAGGTGTTATAACTGATACAAATTTTACAAAGTTGTATGCTGATTGATATTATTTTAATGTCTCTCAGCATCAATTTTTTTAAATATATTTTCATTTAGCAATAATGTATGCGTTGCTGCAGGCTCTGTAATAAAATACGTTTTTCTTTTGTGATGTGATTTATTGATTGGTGTGTTTATTATATATATCTTAAGGGTCCTTTTGACGTATTATATCAAGTATTTGGTAAACCGAGGCATAATTTTGTTCCAAAATGCAGATTTAGTCGAATGAAATCAGAAACTTGCTATTTCTCAAACTAACTTACTCTACCTGTTTTATTATACCGAAACGCATTCCACGTTTCTAAATCTTAATTGTCTACGCTGTTAAATACTATCGCATGCATTCATTTATCGACGATAACTAAACCGAGCAGTGAATGTCGAATACGTTTTTGCTCTGCCATATCAGCGTTAGGTTTTGATTGGTTCATTTTGACAGGTACTGTGCATAGCCCATGTATTAATAGTTCCTGGGATTGTGCTTGTATCACTTGGTTTCAAGGACTAACAACGCTATTGAGATGTCAGTGATGGTTTTCGTGAAAAATGTAACAACGTGTCGTTGTGATTGTACACCATTATGTTCACTATTAAATGCCTGATGATTAATGCACCTTCTGCTAAAATAGCTGAAATTATCGGAGCTTTCCTCGCCTTTGTTTTATCTTATTTTCAAAAGAAAACGTCCCAAACGGCTATCCGTATACATACGCAAAAGGTATGCTGAATACAGCAAAGCATTGACCTAACAGTAACCCTTACACTAAAGAACAGAGAGTCGGATTTTTGAGAATAAAATCCTGTTTTTGTTTAACTGACCATTTGACGATTCAAAGTACTGAAAGGGGAAACTTATGATTGTATGATTTTACTAGTGTATCGTCGTCTGTACCATGACATGTCAACATACCTGTACATAAACCACTGGTTTGATTACATGTATTCCCTTTACAATTGGAAGGGCAGCTAATGGTGCAGGTATCACCATAATATCTAGGTTTGCATGCTAAAATAATAAAAAAAACATTAGCAGTCATCTGAGATTTAATACATACATCGTTCACTTTACATTACAAAAAACAAAAATAGATGACGTTTAATTTCAAACTAGACTGACAAGAAACGCAGGCTTGAATATAGCACAAATAAGATTTTACAAGAATCTCTCTTCAGAAAAAATACAATTGTATCGTATTTATCTTCAAGCACATTTATAAATCCAGTCAAGCATGATTAACTCGAATTCATACATGAGCATAGCCCGTCAGACCTTCTACATGATACAGCACTACACTGTCCACATTTCTCTTCACAGTAAGGTCCAAAATATCCACTCGTACAAGCTAATAATTCAAATAAAAGTAGTGGTATTGCAAAAAAAAAAAAAGGAAATGATAAGATTTGTGTGTTTTTTAGAAATTATCTTTTGAAGTTAAATATAAAATGTTAAACGATAAAGATTCTTCAGATGTAACATTTTGATTATGATTGACGAAGCCAAACTTCATGTGTACATGGCGGAATGAATCAAAATGTAAATGATTCATTGTCTTTTTTTTCAATAATAGTACGTAATTTGAATCCGACACATTAAACTATCTTTTATATGCATGATGAATAGCTCAGCCATAGATACTTTGACAAAATGATCTGTACGTTATTGATATGTCAACTGTACCGTTGTTCTGTTGGCATTCATCATTGTTACAATGACCAGAACATGACATGTTACAATGTTGTCCAAAGAAACCAGGGCCACATGCTACAATACAAATATTTCATATTTACACAAACGACTCCTTCTGTGCATAACACCTAATACCAAATCAAATGGGCTAACGTTCTTCTATTCCAATTTAAATAAAGTTCACTGATCCCCACGGTTGACTGCATATCCGGCCATTGATCATAACAATTAATATTAAAAATTGCACCGGAAAATCCCACTCAAACTTCCAGAAATATCAATGAGTTATTCAGTCTGTTTTGCCTTTAGATACACAAAATATATATTAAAAATTGTAAAATTTAACAACTTTGTATTGTAATGGGGTCCATAATAGAAGTCGTCCCCTAAACGGACCATGTTGTCACAAATGATGCATAAGATATAATTTCCAATGCCATAATGCACTTACATAATTTTCTTTTGCAAAATTAGAAATAGTAAGGGACCTTAGCATCTCCTTGGCCCCAACCATAAATATGTCAATTGTTTAACCACAGAGACCATGTTTCATCATAACCGATCGAAAGTGAAAGTGTTAACACATTAAACGTGCTAAAAATACACTTATCTATTACCACAAACGTGATCAGCAAATGGAAATGCTGACTCTGTTTTTGAGCATCATTGTACCTGAACAATACCGCTACTTCTGGCACAAAGCGAGTATCGACAGTGTGCCGGACAAGTCTGCTTATAGTCAATGCCATAAAACACAGGTCCAAATTATAAACGCAATTAAACAAACACATGTTTTAATGTCTCGTTGCAGCAATATTCACACATTTTTGTTATTATAGCAATTATATTTGCCTTGCTGTAGACTGTGTAATAAAATACATCCTTTTTTATCTATTTAAATTGTGTGTTAATAATGTACATTTAAAGTAACCTCTTGACGTATGATATCAAATTTCTAACTTCGAAAACTACTCACTCTATCTGTTTAACTATGCTAAAGAGCAATGTTCCACACGTTACCAAGCATTATCTCATGCAGTCACGTTTCAACGATAAATAAACTGAGAATATCTATACGCAAGATCATAATGATATTTTTCTGAACACATAACAGCCGTCTCAAAAAAAATGTATCTTGTTAAAAAAAATACGGGATTAAAGGACTGACAATTCTATTGAGATATTGGTGATGGCTTTCGTTAAGAACGTTTCGTTATGATTCTACACCATGTATGATCACCATTAAATGTCCCAAATGTATCGTTATTCACACTTAAAACGGATACTTAATGCAGCAAAAGCTAGATGTTACAGTAGTCAATGCAATAAAGGATACATACCCTAATTTTTAGAAATAATGTTATTGTATGTGTAACCGACCATTGCACGTTTCAAACTTATAAATAGGGAAAATATGAGTATATGATTTTACTTCTGTCAATGACCTTACATATCACCATACCTGTACATAACCCACTGGTTTGATTACATGTATCCCCTTTGCAATTGGACGGGCAGCTGGTGTTGCAGGTACCACCAAAATATCCAAGTCTGCATGCTTAAATAACAACAGAGGCAGTCATTTGAGACTAAATAAATAAATCGTTCACTTTACATTAAACAAATATTATATTTGGTATATATTCAAACAAGAATTACAAGAAAACGCAAGCTTCAACCCTGTACATTGTCCCTCGTATTGTGTGCATGTGCTATTTTCACTACTAGCAGAACATAACTCATCACACTTCATCCCATAGAAGCCGTTCAAGCAAGCTAAAAGTACACAAATATGTGGAGCCGTAACTTCGGTTTTTAATTTCAATCGTTAGAAATGCTCATGGGGAACTAATAAATACCAAAATATTGTAAAGATTGTACTTACATTGTAAGCGTAAGTAAATGATTGTTTTTGGTGACGATGGTAGGGGTATGGAAATCGGCAGGTGTGAATACGGATGCAGAGCGGAGAAGGGCAGGGTAATTATAAGCAAAGTGGGTTATAGGAACCATAGTTTCTTGATATTGTTTCTATTATTGTTCTATAATTTGGTAGTATTTTATAAAAGATAAAATACGAGTATTGGAATGCAAATTGATGAGAAAGATTAAAACGAATTATAAAAAAAATATCTGTTAAATTTGAACACAAAATTTACTCTCGAAACCTTAAAATATCCATGAATTGCGCTAAAAACAGTCATGCATCATAAAAAGGGCTCAACATTAAACGCATCTTACGAGAGACATTTCGATAAATCATGTAACTTTTTCTCTCATCTATTTAGGTTGACCATTTCCATAATCTATATATATATGTTCTAGGTATACTTATCTGAAAGATGCTAGGGGTTTTAGAGTATGACGCACATAAATGCAGTGTGCAAATTGAAGAAACGTTAAACCAGCACATTCCTGATGAATGATTTCAACATGCATTTCTATTCAAAAATAATGTTAATTTATATAGGAGAGTTATTGAAAAAATTCGGTTCATTTTTTTTAACCCTTTCGATTTTAGAATATGTTAATCTACCCACCCCTCAATGTAATACTAACAAGGCATGTTATCGTTCAAAGTTAGAGAGCCATCCCTAACCATGAATTAAGGAAACAGAGCTAAAAAGAAGACATGGAGTGTGAGTACGTCCATTTCCACTATAATTTGTTTTTGAAACTTAAATAGTAATGGGTGGCATTTTTAAACTTTATACATTTATTCACAAAGCAGCCAGAAAACGGCAGTTTGCCGCTGGTATTTTAATTAATTATTGTTCCATATGAACTGAAAGTTGGAGGTTTTGATGGTATAGAGGATGTCTAAATAAGCTTTAATGGACTGAAGTATATTGCTATATACCTTATATATTCTCAAACATTTGAATGTTTTTCTTTATTGCAATTTAAACTAGTGACAAATACGAAAATACACAACCATATACTGACAATATGATTTCATTGACAACTGAAGCATCCGTTTTAACTCAGGAAAATATATTTTGAGATATATTGAAATATTAGTCATCAGTGCGTAGATCTGGAGCTCTTTTTTTAAATACTTACGACTACAATATCCGGATACTTTGTCACAGACATGATTGGTACAACCAACAGAGCAGACATCACAGAACTTTCCGAAGAACCCATCCTTACAGTCTGGCAAAATGAAACTGAACTCTATTTAGTTCCATATTGACATTTCAACGAACATATCATATATAGAACAACCATGTATTGTATGCATGTCAAACATATACATATTAGGTATCCTCTTGTTTTTTTAAACGTAATAATACCTCAAATTGATGGGGTTTTTTATTTTAATGATCGGGAAATATACCATCACTATATCATAATCGAACCTGATATTTAACGACCATGTTTTTTGTAAAAAAAAAATGCGCAATACTATCGGCATGTGTTTAAATGTCATACTGTTTTTCTGCTGTGTGTCCATTTACATTTTTTAGCATCTTGTTTTGAATTTCCATGCGTGGGCCGACGGTAATGTTAAACATTTATTATGGTTGACCCTACCTTTATAATTATTTTATTTTATTTCTGAATCTTCGTCAATAACCTTACATATCACCATACCTGTACATAGCCCACTGGTCTGATGACATATATCCCCTTTACAATTGGACGGGCAGCTTGTGTTGCAGATATCACCAAAATATCCAGGTTTGCATGCTTAAATAAAACAAAACAGAAGCAGTCATTTGAGACTTAATACATGCATCTTTTATGTTACTTAAACAAAAATAAAAGATAGATTAGGTATATGTTCAAACTAGATTAACAAGAAATGCAGGCTTTAATATAACATAAATAACATTTTACAAGTATATGTCTCCGTATAAAAATACAATTGTATCGTATCTGTCTTCAAGTACATTTAGAAATTAAGTCAAGCCTATGAAATGTGTCTCAAAAATAAAAAATAAATCATTACTTTGAGCATATAAAACGAAAATCTAAATACCTCTGATTCGATTTGTAGTAATGTCTTACAATTACATCAAACATTTGTTTTCTGCTAAACTTTCAATAAAAAAGTCACCATACCTGTACATTTCCCTTCATTTTGTGTGCATGTGTTGTTTTCACAATTTGAGAAACATAGCCGATCACACTTAACCCCATAGAAGCCGTTGAAGCAAGCTGAAAGTACACAAATATGTTACTTTCTGGCCAATTTTTCACATCTTTTATAATCGTCCTATATGATACCAAATACTTTTACACAAACAATGTACGTATTAAACGCGTTGTAACGTTTCAAGACCGACTAAATCCTTTGTTAAGCTATTACTGAGTGAGAGAGTTGAATTGTTTACCTGTACAACGATGTGAGGGAAATTGTATATGTTTATGTCACTCGACAAAATAAAAGTTTGATATCACATATTTCCAAACTGATTAATCTTATTGAAGTTATTGTCCTAGAGCTTGATAATATTGTAACAAAGTAAAACAATAGTATTGAGTGCAAATTTATATGAAAGATAGCAAAGAATTATAACAAATCATCGGTTGTTTGTAAACCTTTAAATATCCATGAATCGCGCCCAAAGCAGTCATGGATCATGGAAAGGGCTCCACATTAGACGCATCTTACGACATGCATTTGGATAAATCAGGTCACTTTTTCTCTCTAATGTATTTATAGAGCATATTGCACATATATGTAGTGTTCATATAGAAAAAGGGTGTCCAAATAATCTTTGATTAACTGTAGTTCATAAATGGGCTTTTAATTATTTATTTTTTTTATCTACGCATGAATTATTTTTAACATTAACAATAATCCGGTTACAGCGATAGTGATATAAATCGTATATACTCTCTTAAACAGCTGAATGCTTTTCTTTATTGCAATATAAACTAACAAAGAATACGAAAATAAACAACCATAATCACAATCTGATTTCATTGACAATTGGATCATCCATCTAAACTTAAGAAAATAGGTTATGAAATATAATGAAATATAAGTCATCAGTGAGTAGATCAGGTGCTCTTCTTTTAATACTTACGACTACAATATCCGGATATTTTGTCACAGACACGATTGGTACAACCGGCAGAGCAGTCATCACAGGACGATCCGAAGAATCTATCCTCACAGTCTGTCCATTGCAAAATCAAAACTAACTTTATATATTTTCATAGTGACATTTCAGGAACATATTATTAAACAAAACAAAGCTATCTCATATAGAATAACTTTGTACTGTATGCATGTCTTGCATAAACATAAGTTAATAATCCTCTTATTTCCCAACGCAATTTTACCTCAATATAATGTAATAATTTTTCCTTTTGATGATCGGGAAATTTACCATCACCAAATCATAATCGGACCTAAATTCTGTTGTGTACTCTTTTTACAGTTGTGGGATCGCACAACGTTATACGATGTGCGGTGTGCAATTGATGTATGCACGGTGTGTGAACGATATGTGCACGAAGTGCGAACAATAAAAAAATGACGATCATTGCTTGCGCACATTTGTGCGGACGATGGACGAGCGTTGTGCGATAACAATCGTGGCTGGTGTAAATTGAGGAATGCCTTAATATCTATATACGGTTTTGTGCATGTGTTTAAAGGCATATACTTGATTATTCAGTATGCTTCTATATTCCCAGCTACATATATAAGCTTATCTTTCTGTCTATACTTTCTTCAATTTAGAAGTGGTGTTCTCGGTGTTCTTTAAACAACCTAAATCGACACATGTAAATATACATCACAGTGTCGGCAATACAGGTAAACATAGCCACTGTGTTCCTGTACCTGGATCTTAGTTATCCCCCGCCCGGGGCACTAACGTAACTCGCCAAGGTGTGACAACCAGGCGAAGGGGAGCTATAGACTAAAACGAATGCAAATAACAAATACTTAACGTCCAGTGATGTTTTCATAACGGCCATACGATATCGCATATCAGCTCTATATGTCAGGCGCAGGCCAGGTAAAACTCCGGTCACTCATCAAATTGCTATTTACCTGTTCTGTTACCTAGGAGCTAAACCCATTCTTGACAATCTAACGGTCACTGAAATATTGTGTAACACGCATTGTAAAATTGTACATTATCTTTATTATTGTGATGAGAAATTATAGTAATATATACAATGTACATTATTGCATACGAGCCTTCCGTATTGGAAGGGGAGCTATAGACTAAAACGAATGCAAATAACAAATACTTAACGTCCAGTTATGTTTTCATAACGGTCATACGATATCGCATATCAGCTCTATATGTCAGGCGCAGGCCAGGTAAAACTCCGGTCACTCATCAAATTGTTATTTACCTGTTCTGTTACCTAGGAGCTAAATCCATTCTTGACAATCTAACGGTCACTGTAATATTGTGTAACACGCATTGTAAAATTGTGCATTATCTTTATTATTGTGATGAGAAATTATAGTAATATAATGCACTGTACATTATTGCATACGAGCCTTCCGTATTGTTTTCATTCCGTAATATTGATCAACAAATTGTACCAAATCGCACAGATGTGCGAAGAAAAGCGCACAACAGGGCGAACGATTGTTAAATCGCACTTTTTTGCGCACCATGTGTGGACGATGTGCGGACGGTGTGTGAACGATGTATGCACGGTGTGCGCACGTTATTTTTGGTGCGTTGTGCGGTCACAATTGCTGTGCATGTTTGAGCTATATATCCCCCCCCCCTCAGTTTAGGGCTGCAAATTGTATACCATATTATATTTTGCATATCCTTTTAGTTTTCATTTTTAGACGTTATAAAACGATCCAAATTTTATCAATATTGATCAGAGTTATCTATGTTAACATGACAAATAAATGTATGAATTATATATAATTTACTAACTAATCCTTAAATAACACATTTCTCTACACGTTTTCCATACTTTCTATTGATAAATACATTAACACTCTCCATTGATTCGCATACATCGGATGTCTTTACAGTTTAACAGACACTTCTTATTACAATAGCTGTCATAATACCCGGGAGTACACGCTTTCATGGAAAATCACAAATAACAAGTCAGAATCCGAAAAAGATGGTAGGGGGCAAATTTTCCTTATCTAAGTTTTAGGTCATTAAATGTCACTGATAATGTAACTGTACTCAATGATGCTTAATACATGTCTATTTCAAACCACAACTGAGCAAGAGCAAATGTTTATTGTGAACCGAATCTTATCAATCTATAATACAAAAGTGTAATCATAATATCATTTTATGTACTTTATAAATATATACCAGCAAATAATACCTCAGAAGTGGTATTATTATAGAATTTGAATAAATGTGTGTCCCCACAGCGAATGCATTATATTTTATGGCAAGAAGTTGATTTAACACAAAATTTAAAAAGAATATTCATATAAGTGTTGATTTAAACTGAAACACATGAAACCATTTACCAGAAAATACACCAGATTCTACATTACATATGTTATCACAACAATTAGAGGGACACCCTACGCATAAAGATCGAGGCCTATATTATCCAACTGCACAGTCTAAAAATAATATGAAAAATGTACATAATGTATACATTTACTAGACGCATTGTCTACAATTATTCTAAAATTATGTGGCGATATTATATATAATAAGTAGAAATGTATATTGAAGACTACTTATCATACGTTGATTTACTTGAATAATAATTTTGTATAATGTGATAATGTTACGACGCCGAAGCAAAGACAATACACAGTATGTTGAATCAGGTTATGATGACGACATACACTCTTTGATTATACTTAAAATGAGTTTTATTACAACGGTTCTCATGAATAGAAAAAAAAAAATGATAAACCGATTTGTTTTCTTTCGTTCCACAGGCAAATGACATGTTGCACTTTTTTCCAGTATTGATATCCTTAGCTATATGTAATTACATGCACATTTTCCGGTCACTGGATCACACAGGTCATTGCCACACCCTGCATCACACTCTGAATCACAATTACCATCACCATATCTCCCAAATGGACAACCTGAAATATATAAGAATACGAGTTTATGTCAAAAGAACATCTGTTAAAACATGCTAAAACATATTTAACCAATTGCAATTGTCCCCTCGCTGGATATATCCCTTGGTTGTACAAATTCCTTCTCGTGTAACATCATATGCAACCTTATCATGATGCACAAGAACATTGATAACTTCATAATTGCAACAAAATATCTCAATGAGGAGTTAGCGTAATGATCCCTATTTCTTAAATAGGTATCTTTATGAATAGTTATCTTGACCTAGAACATGAGTTCTGAAAGTTCCATTATCCATTATCAACAATTCGAAAAATCAATTTTATCGATTTGTGTTAACACAAGCACAGCCACATACACACAATAATAACAAATTTTCGTAATGTTAAATATTCAATTTACGTACCGTACACTTCTACCTCACAAAGCTCCAGAATAGCATTTTTAGAGTACCATTCTAGACCTCCTGACCGCCTGTCGCTGTATATCGTCAGGTACTGGGCGTTACCTGTACATGGGATCTTTGGAGTTAATAACAATGCAGCCGGCGTTGATGTTGTGTCTTTATGGCAACGGTAACCGATCCGCCAATCCGAAGTGTTCGACTGGTATATTTGATAGCCACCAAATCTTTGTCTTTGCTTATTACTTCCATCTGGTTCTGAATTTGATAAACAAGATTATCCACTAGAGCTAATGCTTATATACTGTTTTTACGAAGGGTTATTTTCGCGTTTTAGCAAGGAAAAATACAATTCGCAAGAGAAAAAATGGATCGTGTTATTTTACCAGTGAAACGTTTGACACTTTTCATTATTTTTGAACACCCCTGTATGTCGATGATTAAGAAAAAAGCATTTGTCTGCTGTTACCGACAGCATGTTCCGTAACAGGCAACTGATGCAGATACCATCTGAGCAAATAGGGATTTGAATGTGTTTTCTCTTTTTGCCCTGGAATTAAAGCAGTCACCAGTAATGAGAAAACAAATGGCACCGGACATTATCTACAAATGATGTGCATACAGTAATACTGTGTAATCAATAATTTTGTAGTCATGGCGACCATATTGACTTATGAATCAATTGAAAATGATTGCTTCAATAATGCAGTGCACACATTCTGACAAAGGCCTACAACACATATGAAAGCCTAAAAACACACCCGGTACCAATTAAAAGATAAGGTGTCACATACTCACATGAGAATAATAAAAAGAATAATAAAAGGAAACAACCAAAAATGATATTCATTTTCACCATTTGGCGAAAAGCCCAAATGACTTGTGTGTGTAATACGTTCGTCCTAAAGTAAACGAAATGTCTGTGCAATGGTTGCAATTGCTATGCAAAGCAAATCCCGGAATAATATAAAAAACAGACAAAACCAGGGAAACAATTGTTATGCAAAGCCAATCCCGGAATCGTGTTGTTTAAATAAATGTGTCAATATCGAGAGAAAAAGTATATTCAGTCAAAGAAACCAGAAAGTCAGAGAATTGTTAACATCTTGTAAACATTTGCGCAGCATTTCCGTAGTACTTCCGTATCATTACCGTAGCATTTCACTAGCACTTGCGTAGCGTTTTCGTAGCACTTGCGTCTACATCTTACCATTTAAAAAGCGTTTGTGAAACGTTCGGTCGAATATTTTTTGGAATATATATTTGCCGAAACGAATTGTTGATAAATAAATCATTATAATCCGCATTATGTGGACTTGATACCAACTATCATAATAGTCTGGAAAAAAATGTCGGTTCACACATACATGGACGTAACAGCCCTCCTCCCGTGGGCCTACTGTGTGTTCCCCAAACAAGCAGCTAAGGGGTAATTGAAAAAAAAAAAAAAAAAAAAGGCATACAGCTGTCCATGTGTTAATGATCTGTCCCTTGTTAAAGATATAAACAACTTTAGTGGCCGTTATAAAGGTTGTTAGGGCAACATGACCACCCGCTGACAGATACTTTTCTTTCATTATGATATCCGTACCTGAGAATATAGGCAGTGATAATGCACTTGTGGTCTCATTGGATTCTGATGTGCTGTACCTGATCAAAGTCACATTCTGTATTTTCAAGGCAATTAAGTCCATGTCAATTAATCCACTTCATTGTCTATCCACCACGCACAGCTGTATACAGGTAAATCAGTTCAAGGTAAAAACCTACAGGTAAGATACTTTGGCTGTTCCTTAGTCAGGAAATGACAGCTCCAGGCACAACTTCATTTCACAACAGTGCCTTTACCAAGGTAAACTAGTATTTTATTTGGAATTCTTAATTTAAAGCAAACAAAAATTATGTCTCTCATTAAGATATTTAACTTCTCACCTAGATGATTTATTTTAAAACTAATCTATTTTTTGTATAAGGTTGAATACCAACCCTAATACGTAATGAATTTGTTAATATCAGATTATTGAAAATGATGATTTTTTTTAGTAATCATTAAAAATCATAAATTTGTGTATGAAGAGAACTTTATTGTCATCGTTGTCATCATGCGACTGAGTTCCTGAGAAAATAGAGTGTGCTTCCTTGTTGTCTATAGCAGAGACGTATATAATACAATACGTCTCTGTCTATAGTAAGTTTGTAAATGGAGTGCCCTCTCCGTGTGTGGTAATTATAAAGGTGTCAAAAAGCAGTCAAGCGGTTCCGGATTAGTGTACCTTTGAACTTACATGGTTTAATGAAAAAGATAATTGACCATTTTCAGCTGACCAATTAGTACCAGTTAGCGGCCTTAGCAAGTTACACAGTGGACAGTATATGTCAGGGCTGACCAATAGAGTATATTTGGGAATATTGTATTAACGAAGAATGTGAAGAAAAAATTGAATATCCTCAAAAGCAAATGTTTATAGATATATTTACCATCATTTGGAACTAGATACAAGAGAGTGTGAGCATCCCTACATAGATATACATGTATACCCCCTCCCCATAAGAGAAAAATATTATAAATGAGTGATAAATGTGTCTATTAAATGTCCCCCCCCCCTTACCCACACCGTTTTACTTTGCTCTACTCTACCATGACTAATTATCCATGGAACCTGATCAGGAAGCTATCGCCCTAAGCCCTCACCCTCTTTGTTCCACGCCTGTTTAGGAAGAAACGTACATGTACAAACTGAGAAATAGATATATTAAAGTTTGACTGTGGTCTCAATCCCTATGTTATCTGAAATCAGACCCATATACCCTCTGCAGTACACACCCCTCAGGGTGTGCCAGACAGACATAGTTTTTCCAGTACCAGGATTCAGACAGATACTATTTATCTGTAGAAAAGTTAGTATAGATACCTACGGTGTGTTGGCTCATTCCCCGAACACCAACTCTATATTCCTATTTTCTATTACTTAGTGCGGTATTAAATGTGTATTACAGTTATATGTATGAATATACATCCTTTGACGTTTAGTTATAGCCTGTTTCAACTAAGAATGTCAACTCACTTTTTAGATATGATACTAAAGTCAATAATAAAATGGATAAACAGTTTTTATTCATACATATAACTGTAATACACATTTAATACAGCACTAAGTAATAGAAAATAATCATTACATTTTAATATTTACATTATATTAAAAATGAAAATAACATTTCATTATTTTAAAAATAACATTACGTTATATGAAAAATGAAATTCCTTGATTTAAGCCACATTAATACTATATAATGTCAGCAATAAAATAAAGTTTATATTTCTACATATTAATTCACATTTAATACAGCACTAAAAGATCATTATTGATTTAACATAAATATAAACAGTTAACCTTTCTGGAGGTAAAGTAGGTGAAGAAATTTGCATGAATCATGATGATTTTAGTTGGAATGGATTTTTTGGAATTCAGAGGTTTTGTCAAAAAGTATAATAGCTCTCTTTATTTTAAATGTTTGGTTAGTTTTTAAGTATATCCATCTACGTATGTCTTGCCATAAGTTATTTGTTATTTGACACTGATAAAAAGATGTATATAAAAAGATGTTCTATAGATTCTTTGTTTTCTTGACATAAATTACATAAATCACATTGTTTGATTTCAATTATTTTTAAATAATGATTAAACGGAAGTATTCCTGAAAGAAGCCTGAAAGTGAACCATTGAATACTAGTTTCAAGTCCATATAAACATTTTTTCAAATCAATCATTTTGAGCCCACCCTCACTATAGTCTCGAACAATTGTTGAGCGTTTTATGCTATCAATAGGTGTTTGCCAGAAAAAAAAAATAATGCTTTTTTTTGTTCAATGATTGAATTATGTCTTTACTTGGAGTAGGGAGAGATGTAAACAGGTGATTCATTTTTGCAATGATAAGAGAATTAAGAACAGTTATTCTCCCTATAGGTGTTAAAATTGTTTTTGACTATTGATGTAACTTGCAACCTATATTACTAATAATTTCGTTGAAATTTACAGTAACCATGTCTTCTAAATTGACAGAGAAATCAATCCCAAGTAAGGTAAATTTGGTTGTTCCCCATTTTAGTTTTCACCTTGGATGGTATACATCAGCACTATTTTTTTTTTCTTATCTATCCAAATAACATTTGCTTTTTCAGTATTTACTTTTAACCCTGATATTTTAGCATATTTATCTAGCATGTTTATAGACTCTATGAATGAAGATGTTGTGCCATTTAAAATAAAGGAGGTGCCATTAACGAACTGTGGTCTTTGTTATTTATGCTTATGCCCTTACATTTTTTTTACCATGATAGCTAATATTTTAGCTACCAAAAGAAATAAGTAAGATGATACTTTTTATGTCTACAAAGTTGGATAAAAAAACCCAATCCGTATGATAGCCGAGGAAGTATTTGTATTCATAACAGATGATAATATCAAACTGAAGTCACACAAGTTAAACAC